TTCAGCGTCCATGGGCTGACGGGACTCATTCTGGCAGAGAACCTAGTTTGGGGATAAGGGTTGGAAATGCATAGCCTCTATTATTGTCGCACGGGCCTGGGAAAGGCTTGCATTGATAAGTACAAGCAGTTGTGCCTCAGGAGCTCACTTAGGCAAGGTGAGGGCAGGGGTGGGGCGGGGGCGGGGGTGGGGACTCAGAAGACAGGGGAGGGGAGCCGTTTTATTCAATCAATTTTATATGATTATCTAACCACGATGCCGTGACCTGAAACTAAGAATCGAGAACATTGAGTGTAAAGGGTAACTGAAAAATAAAAAGGAAGGTTAAAAAGCTGAATTAAACACTCAGTAGCCCACTGGAAAAAACGGGAATCCAAACACATGCGGCCTGGTTTGGGGAAGTTTTGATTAAAAAAAAAAATCATGAAGTTCGATATATTCATTCAGGAAGGACAGGAAGCTGTTGCTTTCTTTATGAGCATTTTATTTAAACTTTAAAACTGCTCATGGGCTTTGGTTCCTACTTTTTAAATAGGATTTTAAGAGGGAGAACTCAGAAACATTTGCTTACTTACCATTAGAGTCTTTATATGGAGCAGAATCTTTGAAGATTTTTAAAAGGGCAATTTCCCCAAGTATTAAAACATGTGCTTTACTATGTGTTAGATAGTGTTTTGAAGGACCATATTTTTTTTATTTTTTAAAGATTTTATTGATTTATTTTTAGACAGGGAAGGGAGGGAGATAGAGAGAGAGAGAGAGAAACATCCATGTGCGGTTGCTGGGGGCCGTGGCCTGCAACCCAGGCATGTGCCCTGACTGGGAATCGAACCTGTGACACTTTGGTTCGCAGCCCGTGCTCAATCCACTGAGCTATGCCAGCCAGAGCTTGAAGGACCATATTTTTATTAACCTGTTTAACCGCTGTTTTATGTATGGGGAAACTCAGGAACCAAAAGGTAAGACACTTGTGCAGTGTCAGGGCCCAGCTTGTGTCTGGGGTATAGCCCCAAGCAGTCTGGACTCAGAGTCACCCCCCTGAGGACTGCCGTGTGGCTGGGTAAGCTGGAGGTGGGACCACCGGGGTGATATCAGGGTTATAAGACCTTATTTATCAAGCATCTGGTTACATATCAATGTATTTCCATAGGTTTCCTGTGATCTAGGGGTAGGTGATAGTATGTCCACTGGACAGATCAGTAAAGTGAGGCTTAAGGAGGGAAAGTACTTTGCACCAGGTCCGTCAGCTCGTTTGAGGCAGAGTCACAGCTGCAGCCTGGGACTGTCTGTCCGCCTCTAACCCCTGCCCCCAACCAGCATGCCACACTGCCTCTGCTTCAGTTGCTGGTTATCATATTGTTACATTCTTCAGGGCTAGTAACAAACACGAAATCATCCTAGCTTTGCACAGAATCAGAATCATCACAGCTCCTCAGCCAGGGGGCGGTTAGTTCGGCCCCTAGTGGAATCAGATGGGGTCAGATGGGGGAGAGGATATGGAAGAGAAAATCTTATGAGCCCACCACCTCTTCCCGCCCCGCCCCCCCCAATTCCCAGCTTCCAGCTCCACCCCGCAAGAGGAGAAAGCACTTCTCCCTACAAACACAACTCTAAAAACCACCACTGTGCCTGTAGTAATGTGTGTAGCCCTTCCTGAGGGCTCTTGCTGGAGCTAATCATCAGACTAGCGCTCCAACAGGAGGCTGTTTCTCCACACCCTTCACTGAGAATTTTCTTGTCCAGCTAATATGTTTGAAGTACGCCGTTTCCTTCTCTGCCCACTCCATCTCTAAATATTCTCCGAGCCGAGTTCCCACATGGCTGAAATGTACAATATACCCCAAATTTTGCACTTGAACACCCCCCGGGGTTCAGATCTTTCCATGTGTGTCTGTCTCGAATTCGCCCCCCGCCCCCGCCCCCTGCGGTTTTCTCCCCATTAGGCAAATGGAAGGGCCATGCCACCTGTTAGCATATTACATCACTGCCTCCCCAGAACACAGTTGCACCAAAGGCCTTAAACAAAGTACTTCTTCTTGTATTGTTTGCACTCAAAGAGCTGATATCATGCCAACTGATGTCATTGTATGTCTTTGTGTAACTGCTATGGCAACTGGGCAGGTGGGGAGCCTCCAGCTGATGTCATTGCAATGGTAAGGAGGTGTAGAGGCAGAATTTTAAAAAGCTGGATGCCGCTTGTTGCTGTGTGGGGGGTTTTACTGGCGTGCATTAAAAAAAACGAGCTGTTTTTAAGACAAATTACAGCTTGTGTACCCTAAATAAGAACAGAGAGAAGTTCTTTTTTTTTTTTCCCTCTCCCTACCCGCTTAGAAAGTTCTTTTGAGTTCGTTTTGTTGTTCTTTCCTCTCATCTTATATGGAGAAGTGTAACAACTGCCTTTTTCTCTGGGAAAAGAAAAAGTGAATTAGGGTTCCCATCACAGAATCCGTGTGGGACTGTTTACTCGGACTTTCTAGGGGCCGTGCTGGGCAGATTTTAAAATAACCTTTTCGTCTCTTTTATGGAGCTTGTGATGGGGACAGTGGGTAACTTCAATTTATTTCAGTGTTTTCCCTAGTGAAGTTTTTCAGGTTTTCCCTTTCTTCTGATACTTTAAAAATGACCTCTTGAGCCCAAACTTTTTTTTTCTTTTGCCATGATTTCATAGCAGAATAAACGAATAATATTTAAGGGCAAAGGTTAATTCTAGAAACCAATTAAAGTGAATTTATAGTTTTTGTTTTTCTTTTCAAAAAGAAGAAGTAGGCCCTGACCGGGTGGCTCATGTGTTTCAAGTGTCATCCCGTGCAACAAAAGGTCGCAGGTTCGATTCCCGGTCAGGGTCCATATCTAGGTTGCGGGTTCCACCCCAGGTCAGGTTGTATGGGAGGCTGCCAATCAATGTTTCTTTCTCATATTGATGTTTCTCTCTCCCTTCCTCTCTCTCTAAAATCAATAAACATTATCTACGGGCGAGGCTAAAATAAAAAAGAAAGAAAGAAATGGTAGGTTTTGACAGGTGAGTGATATGATCCTAATATCACCCTTTGGAATAATCTTGGGGTCATAGCCGGACCTAAAAATATGACTTCCCTGGTTTCCACAACCTGCTGTGCGTGCGCTGGCCGTAAACAGCCCAGACGCATGGCCCAGGTTGCAGCCCGGAGCTTCCTGCCCTGTTTGCTCCAGATGAGACCTGAAGGACACCTGTTAAGTTCAGAAGCTCGGGGACAGACAGACTTCCTGTCCTTGCTTCAACACAGCCACATCCTGTTCACCTGTTCATTTCCTGACTCACCTCCTGAAACCGTGGAGAAGCGGCCATGGAAGGCACCTCTCTAGGGGCGTGAATGTTGTGTTCTGGGAGCTTTCAGCTTTTCAGCTTCCTCCTCTTTTCAAAGGAACGGCCACAGTGTATCTATTTCTGTTTGACTTGAATTAGAGCTAATTGGGTGGTAGTGATGTCTGATTGCATAGCCCTTACTTGTATATTGGATAATTCGACCCTCGTGATAATCTTTCAGGCTTAGCCAGGTGTGTGGTGCATCTAACAAATATTAAAGGAAAAATTTAAGCAAACTATGATCCAGAAATTTCCCAACTTACACAAATTGTTCTTTTTTGTGTAGTTCTTCAACTTTTGATCACATGCATGGTGGATATTTTTGAACTGGCTCTTTTCATTGAGTATTGAACAGAAACATTTTCTCTGCTTTCATATTTTTTCACAGCCTTGAATGGCTACATAATGTTCCATTGAATGACTATATTAACTTTCCCCCTCAATTATTTTTTTAAATTTGGCCTTTGCTATAAAACAGATAATGCTGTAGTGAACGTCTTAGGTAACCAGCTGATTTCCTTAAGACAGATTCTCATAAATAATGCTACCCCTGTTGCAGGGGAGGTCTGCATTTTAAAAATGGCACAGTTTTCAGCCTTTTCCACTGGACCTGTAACATTTAGGGGGCAGGGCAGAGCCTTCAGCTAGCTCAGTGGTGTGTGTTCACGGATCATTGGCGGTTTCCTGATGGGTGTGTGGCTGCCCAAACCGGGAAGGCGAGGGCGAGGGTCTGGGCTGCCGTCACACGGAGTCCTGCTGGAAATCGGGGCGGAAAGCCGTCAGTGATCTACATGGAGAATATCAAAAAGGAGATCATAAGGAAAGCTCCCCTCGCAGCTCCTTTTGTGTTTTTTGTCTTTTCCAACCATTTCTCTGCTGCTTGAACCGTGGGCAATCATACACACATTACCAGTGTAAAACCAACAAACTCCTGCTGAGTGACACTATATGCCAGGCAATGTGCTGAGTACCTTCCGTGCATTCATTCATCCCAGACCCCAGTCACACTAAGGGGTAGATGCCAGGACCCCCCTTTTACAGGCAGGGGAACTGAGGCACAGAGAAATTAACGTCTGCCCATGACAGAGCCAGGAAGGAGTGGAACTGGGGTCCCAGCCACGGTGCACGGGCTCTTCCAAGGTCCCTGCTCGTGACCACTCTGCTGCGTTGGCGGCAACGCTGTCGTTCCAGGTGAGGTGAGTGTAGGAAGGGTGCAAGCCTCCTGCCTGCAGGGCAGGGCCCAGGTGCTGGCCCACGTTCCCCGCCGGGTCACCTCGCCTCACGCTGCTCCCGCTCCAGGGGGCCCGGTTGTGCACAGGCCACTGAGTCATGGCCCTTCGAGGCAGGTCGGATTCGGAAGTCAGGCTGCAGTCATGGCCCTTCGAGGCAGGTCGGATTCGGAAGTCAGGATGTGGAAGTCGTCCGAGGCCGCGTGGGCTCTTTCCAGGGGCCCACGGCCCCGCGTGCACACAGAGCACATCTCCCAAGTTCAGGTGCAGTGAAATTCTCCGGAGCCTCTCCCGAGCCTCCAAACGGACTTCCGTCTCATTTTATTGGCTGTATCAGCTTCGTCTCATTTTATTGGCAGCAGCAGCGTGCACTCCTTCCCTTGGGGCGAGCCAGGGGGCGTCACGCTCTCGCTGTGTTTGTGTTCCAGGCGGGCTCAGCAGTTTCAAGCAGAACCATGAGAACCTCTGTGACAACTCCCTCCAGCTCCAGGAGTGCCGGGAGGCGGGCGGCGGCGCGTCCGCGGCCTCCAGCGTGCTACCTCAGTCCGTGCCCACCACCCCCGACATCGAGAACGCCGAGCTGACGCCCATCCTGCCCTTCCTGTTCCTGGGCAACGAGCAGGACGCGCAGGACCTGGACGCCATGCAGCGGCTGAACATCGGCTACGTCATCAACGTCACCACGCACCTGCCCCTCTACCACTACGAGAAAGGCCTGTTCAACTACAAGCGGCTGCCGGCCACCGACAGCAACAAGCAGAACCTCCGGCAGTACTTCGAAGAGGCTTTCGAGTTCATTGGTAACTATCTCCCGTGGGGCATTGGCCAACTCCACCTTCCTTTCCCCTCTGGCTTTTGCTTTGAGGTCAAGTTCAAGATTTAATGTGTGGGTTTCTAGTGAAAAAGCTCACCTGGGTGGTTTTCCCACAGCTCTGCTGCCTGGTGCAGCTAAAGTCTTCTCCTAAGTCATAGCCCATCGAGTGTAGTGGATACATCAGACTGAGTATAAAAGAACAGTAATTTTATTTGGTTGGGATCCGTTCAACTAGAAATCCTCATGGAAAAAGTGGTGGGGGTTGGCAGGGAGGTGTTCCAGAGCATAATTTTTGTAAAACAACTGATAGAAAGTAAGAACTTAGAGACCAGAGCTGGTACTGCGGCTCTCTGGTCTACCTCAGCCCCATGCAGGAAATAAAATGTACTGAGTATGTTTTACCTACCTCCCAACTCACCACACCCCCTTGCCTTGAGTTCAGTGAACTTGCAGCTGGGATAGCCTCTGTATGTGAGGTTGAGGCAAACGCAGCATTGCTGAAGGATTGCTTCTGAAGAATCTGTGTCCCTCAAGCAAAATGCTGTAGGGAACTTTATTCTCCGACACATCAGTGCGGAGGAGACAGAGGACTGGAGGCGGGGAGGGAAATGAGTTGTTTTCCCCGCCACCTGCTTTGTCTCAGTTCTCAAACATGGGGCAGGTGAGGCCCTGAATGTGAGCACCAGCGAGATGCTACTGCATTTCCTGAGACAGTTTCCTCCAGACTCACCGAAGCAGGCAAGGTCAGGTGGTGTGGCCTGAGCGGTTCCCAAGGAGGATCATTCTAGCAACAGCAGGCTTTCATCTCCAGAAGGAACTTTAATCCTAACTTTAACTTTTATTGCTTCTGTAGCAATAAAACTGTTGTAAGGCTCAGAGGATCACCTGGGGAACACCCAGCATCTGGCAGATCCTTGACAGTTTTTTTTCAAGTCACCCTACCTTTGTTATCACAAAGAAATGACCCAGTACTTTTCCTAACTGTGGCAGCACATTTTACTGGCCTGTGTTCCCGGGAGAGCGCACTCTCGTTTGGTGCCCCTCTGTTAGAAAAATGCCTTGGGTTTAGCAGCCATTGGGTCTGGTGGCTTTGCTGCTGATTTGACAGTTCTGGCCACCTTGTCCCGCTGCTGTGCTTGCTAATTGTGCCTTCAGTGCAGGACCATGGAGCATTGAGTCCAGAAGGAAGTTGCGAGCGGTCCCCAAACTCAGACAAGGCAAGTGACTTCCCCAAGGTCATAGGAGTTTTAGTGTCAGAGACGGGACCAGAACTCAGGGCCCTTGACTCCAAGGCCAGGGCCCTTCCATAATAAGCTGGGGCCAGGTTGATGATGCCCCCGTTCATTCCTGACCCGCAACAGACATGGACGCAAAGGTCGCTTGCATTCTTTGTTAACAACTTCTGAAGCAAGCCTTGAGCCCTGAGGAAGAAGTGTTTGTTGTCATCACATAGATGAGGAACTCCCTGGTTGGTACACGATGTTATGGATGCAATTCTTCTGACCTAATTCCAGTTGGGGGAAGTTAGGAAATTGTTTCTCTTCGGCGAGCAGCATGAGATGTGCTTCCTCTAAGAGGACCGCCTGCAAAGCATCCCCCATTCCTTGGGGTATTCAGGCTTAGCTGCTTTTTCAGATGGAGGACAACCAGTACCAAACGGCCTTTAACTTGAAAGGCGATTCCAGCTGGTGGCCTGCACAGGCCCGATTTTATTTTCATTGTTACATCCTTGGGTAGACCAAAATCTTCTAGTCTTGCTTTTGGACAAACATGGCACATTTTATGAACATAATCCCATTCACTGAGAGTCTAAGTAGACTAACTGCACGGAGTCTAGGTTCAGGGTTTAATTATGCTGTTTCTTTCTTTCTGAGTTGGGTGATATTATTCCCACGTTCCCTGAGACTGGTGAGTTGGTATTATTCCCATTATGCAGACAGAAGGTTTGAGGCTCGGGGGAGTCAGGTGACTGCCACAGGATCCCTTGCCCAGTGTGTAGGGGCACCAGGGATCAAACCTAACACTCAGGAGCTCCTCTCCTCACCGCCATGCCTGCCGGCCTCCGTGTGACGCTTGGTACCTAGAGTGCGCTGAAAAGAAGACACGGAAAAAGGGACCTACTTTCTCCAAGTACTTTTTCTATGAGAAGTAAGCCCGATCTACAGGTTTTTAAGATGAAAATTTGCACAGCGTTTCATTTGCTGATGGTTTAAGTTAAATCATGATTCTACTTACCCTGCTGTTCTTTCCAGCTCTGCACCTAACTGGTACCAACCGCTTCAGGGACACTTTCTTGGAGATGCTTTTTAGTCTAGAAGCGTCATTAAGAATCCATTCAGGCAGTGCCTGCAAGCTATTCTCCCGAACCTGTTAGTATTGAGTGTATCTGAAACGTACGAAGTCTGGTCCTTTCCCGTTGCTCTGGGTTCTGATCCATTGCTGAAATGCCTCCAGCTTCTAAGTTGTTGCCACATGCCACAGGCTCCCATGGGTGAGGGGTTAATGGTTCAGACATAGGTGGCCCCTGTGCCCGAGGACCACAGTCCTTAGCGCAGGGTTTTCCTGTAAGCAGCTGAACACAGTAACTTTCAAGTTGGCTTTTGTTCCTTTAACCTTGGTCTTAGTTTAGCAAGACTGAACTTCTCATTTATTCAGTACCAGTTCCTGTGCAGGGCGGTTCTATAGCAGAAGGAAAGAACTGGGTTTTTTTCCTCTATCACAGGTAGGAGAGATGTTGTCAGTAACTCTAGTTTTGACAAGTCACACAGTTTGGCAATTGGAATGAAGATCCTTAATCAGAGGGGTCTACCGAGTAGCTTGTTTAATATGGCAATTAATTGTTATTGTGGCTTGTGCTTCGGTCAACTGCTATCACCCGTGAAGTAAACTGTTACTATGAATAATTCCCTCGCCTGCTCTTCTCTTTAAATGTAGAAATGCAGCATCTGATTTATGCCAAGATTGCTTTTAGCCAGTTCTGGAGGTTGTGACATAAACATACACAATGACCCATCAAATTATGCTTGGGTTGAAAACCGTTTTAATATATTCTTTCTCTGCAAACCACGGCAGGGCCAAGGCCAGATGAAAGGTAACTCACCCTTCCCGTCACTGCCTCCCTCCCTTCACCTCTCGCCTCTCTCCCTTTTTGCAGAGGAAGCCCACCAGTGCGGGAAGGGGCTTCTCATCCACTGCCAGGCCGGCGTGTCCCGCTCTGCCACCATCGTCATCGCGTACTTGATGAAGCACACTCGGATGACCATGACTGACGCTTATAAATTTGTCAAAGGCAAACGACCAATTATTTCCCCAAACCTCAACTTCATGGGGCAGTTGCTGGAGTTCGAGGAAGACCTGAACAACGGGGTCACGCCGCGCATCCTCACACCAAAGCTGATGGGCGTGGAGACGGTCGTGTGACACCAGCAGTGTGGACACCTGGACAGGAGCGGCTCCTGGTCCCCATCGGGAGACGAGATGAAGAGGAAGGAGAATGGAGTCTTTCTTGGCTTTTTCTTTCTTCTTCCTTTTTTTTTTTTAGATGGGGATAAAGTTTGTGAATGGAGACAAACTGGTTTAAAAACTTTATTTTTAACAAGTGTGAGAAGAATTTAATTTTTGAGGCCCATTGAGATTTCCCTCCCAAGAACTGATAAAGGAGGGAGGCTAATGAAGTCCTTTTTTTTTTTTAAGCCAACAATAAACATATAATAAAACTCGTTTCTCCCCCTTTTCCTTTGAAGCTATTTGTAGCGTTTATGATTATGTAGTCTGTGCAGGTTCATAGACCGAATATACTACACTCTAAACCAATGTGAAGAAACCAAAAGTAGAAAAGACATTGAATCATGAAGACCCGGGATTCCGTGGGCCACTCATGCAGAAAACAAAAACCCAACCAAACGAGCCCTGTGCTGCTCACCCGTGGCGCGCAGAACCGGGGCAGCTTGTGTGGTCTGAGAACCCTTCACATTCTCAAAAGAGACAAAGGATACTGTTGATTTTGTGTGTTTCGTACTCTGAATTATTATATTTTTCCCTTTCCGGGTTTAAGAGATATTTTTGGAAATAGCAAGGGATTGACCATTGAAACACACGTCCTCCCTGTGCAGGACGAGGCTGTTTTGAGTGGACGAGTTAGGGCTGGCAGCCAGATGGTCGGCCAGTAGCGCAGATGTGCCCGCGTGGAGAGAAAACAGAATGAAAACCGATTACTTTCCTCCCCACCTTTTTCCTTTGTTTAATTTTTTTTTTTTTTTGGATTTGATTCTGGTTACAGTGCCATAACCCTTGTTACATATGTATATCAGAATGTAAAAAAAAAAAGACAAAAATTTATTTAAAAATATTTTTCGCAAAAAAAAACAACAACTGGGTGTGTTTCTGTTGATTGTGTAAAAATTTATTTTCATTATATAAATGAAACTCATCTTGGGACGTGTCTTGTTTCCGCCTCTTTTCCTCAACTCGGGGTCAAGCATGTCCAGCTTCTGGCAACTGGTCCACGTTATGTCACTGGGAAGGAACACACGTTTTTCTAGGGGAAAGAGAGATGCGGAGGCAAAAATGTTCTCTGTCCTCAGTGTGATGCAGAGAGAATGAATCAGGAAGCAGGATAGCTCCGGTGTGCATCTTCCCAGGGCTCACCTCTTTTCCCACAGCCCCACCGCCACCTCTGCACGTACAGTTCCTCCGCGGTAGGGAAGTGTCAAGTAAGTCACGTTAAGGAATGAGAGATTTCTATACCAGCCTCCGAGCTTTGCTCATCAATCAGGTCACCGACTGATGGAGTGGGTAGAATCCCATGCTCTCCCCAGAGGCTCTTCGATAAATATCAGTGACAATCTGCCATTTGGGATTCCTTAAGGTCACCCCGATCCCTCTCTTGCCACTTGCTCACTTGACATTTCTGGTGACATTAACGGTGGAGTGTGCACTACAGCAAATACCCACTTCCTACTCTTTGGCCGGCAAACGGAAGTCAGCTTCAGTGGGCACAGCTTCCCGATCTCACTGGGTCAATACGTAGCTGGCATTCCGTGGGCTTCCAATCCCTGGATGAGTGGGGGTGGGCATGGAAGAGGGATACCGTCCAAACGTTTTCTGCATCTCATGGTAATAGCCGTCTAGAGGGCCGTGGCCTCAGGGAAGGTTCGCCGCAGACTGAGGCTTGTGGAAGGTAACACAGTTGAAGGGTTCTGGTGCATCCAGTTCTGTATCAATACATTCGGCATGGTTTTGTGGCCATTTGCTTAATCATGAAATACTTTTGATGTTTACTTTTTTAAAATAGCTCTTCTACTAGAAGCGACTTGACTTTTTCTCTTACTGGAAAAGTGGAGCCAGAAGTGAACAGGCACGGACTCAGGGCTGTTCTGAATTATTGGCATTTGCCGCGGTGTTGGTGAAAAGTCAACCGCTCCTACAGTGTTTCATATTCTTCAGACTAACAACTGGTGGCGGAACATATTTAAGGAGTTGGGTGGATCTGCAGTTAGTGATTTAAAATATCTAGACATTTCTTTTAAAACTACACATTTCTTTTTGTGGATTCTGAGTCTAAATATTAGATTTCTGATAGAATGTGAGACGTATTCCCTTTTTTCTTTTTCTTCTCAAACACACAAGAAGGAGAATGAATACAATTTCTCTTCTTTAAATACATGAGTAGGATTTATGTTTTTTGAGCTTCATGATTTTGAGAGAGGCCGTGCCGGAGTAGACAGGAATCCTGCCAGCCAGCATACCAAGAATTCTGAGAGAGACTCAGGTCTTCTTTGCTAATCTGTTGTGAGTCACTTAGCCTCCACTTCTTCATGAGGAATGTTAACCATTTCATGAAAATAATACACATTAACCAAGACAGCGCCCTAGAAACCAGACTCCCCAGGCTTGTGGGTCCTGCTGGGTGCCTGGGAGCTTTAGGGTTGAGCTGGGAAATAATTGAGTGTCTTCTTCCCGAGAAAGCAGTCTCCGGCCAATGAGCACCTCCTTCTCAGAGTCTACCCAGCAAGGCTTGTTTCATGTGGAATGAATTTAATGACTTCATAGAATGCATTTATAATATATCTAATTAGAATAGAAACAGATCCAGAAGGCACTGTTACCGTAGGTTGAACAGAACAGCAGCTCTGGCTTCTGTGTGTAACTTTATGTCAACGGTTAACACCTTTGCAGCGGAGGCAGGTTAATGGGCATACAGAGTTCACATTTCACCGAAGAGCTTGCACTACTTTCGGGTGAGGACAGGAAGGGCGGGAGGCAGAGCAGGGGAGGGGGAGGGGGCATAAGGAATGCCACGCACACAGCCCAGCAATTATATTTTTTCTGCCGACAGAAAAATGAGGAAAGGCGAACTTCTGAAAGGGACACAAAACATGGGAAATAGGAGAAAATGGGATTTTGTAGTAAGACAAAAAGAATTATATCTGAGCGAAGACCTGAATCACACTTCAGAAGTTGACTGTGACGGAATGCTATTGCTCTAACTCCATCTTCTGGAAGCTAAGACCTCCGGCAGGCCAAACTGAATAGGTGTCGAGCGATAGGATCACCACCTTGTCTGCAAACAGACTCTCGGAAGTAAGCCACAACACACTACATGCAGGCATTACTCCCCAAACACGAACATCTAATCTCAGGAAAGATGGGCTGGTGTTTGCTTTCAAGCTCTCATTGGGGACCATTGCTACTCGCGGATGTGCATGGAAGAGAGGGCCAAAAGTGACTATTAAGGATCGGCAATAGTACAGTATTTAGAAAAACTGTTTAAAATTAAATGTCTGTAGAGGACTTCCTGCCTTTCTGGAGGTGATAGCTTATGGATGCCAGTGCTTTCCACGCCCCCGATTCCCTCCGCTGTGACCACCTTTGTCAGGGGTGCACAACACGTGTACCAGCATCTGACCAGAAGGAGAAACACGGAGATGCAGAATGAGGGGTTCGTTCTAGGAATCTGGAGGAGAAGTCCGTGGAAGTGTGTTGCATCCGTGTCTGATGATGGGCTGGTTTCCGGGGGTCAGCAAGGCCAACAGGGAGAACAGCTGGGCATGAAGCAGAGGAGAGCGAGAAGGAATGGAATTAGGAGGAAAAGCTAGAATCCACTCTTGCCTTGTACTGACCTCCACGATGTGGGTGACTTTGGAGAAGGATCTCATGCCCTTTGCCACGGAGCTGAACCTGGACCTGGTGCAGGACTTGCGAAGTCGAGGGAGGAGTTCTGGAGGGAGTTCTAAGAGCTGCACTCACCGCTGCAGCCCTAGGTCAAGGTCAGCCGCCAGGTCGGTGCACAGGTGCAGTAGCTGCAGTAGCGCCTGGTGCCCAGTCCGGAGTATAATGGCTGCTGCTTCCTGTATACCTTCCCCCTCCACGCACGTTTCTCCTCAGGCTAACCTTAATCCAGGGTGAGGCAGGAAGGGGAATTCTGCAAGACGCACTCTCCGATTTAGCTAAGTCAGTGCTACACCAGACACCACAGTGCACCCTTGCCAATTTGGCATCTAGCTACACTCCTTGGAGCTGCACATAACTTCCAAATGGACATTAGAAAATGATGTTTGCACCTAATAAGATGCAACTATCACTTCTCTGGTTGAAACACACTAACACTCTCTCCAAGAGGAGATACGTAGTCCCGGGTGCTGCTACATTATCCATTCTTGGGTGGTTTCATTCCCCTTTGGGTTGCGGTCCACTCTCCCTTCCATATCCTGTAATTGAAGTACATGAAATATGAGGATATTATACACTGCATTGTGTTTGCCAAAGAAGATGTTTTTGAAATTGTATACCCCAGCCCTTGTAAATGTGATCTTTTTGGAGACAGGATTTTTTGCAGATACAATAAGGTTTTAAAGAGCTCACATTGGAGTAGGACAGGCCCCCATGCAATCGGTGGTTTTCTCAGAGGAGGAGGAGAACCTGGACACACAGAGAAATGAAGGCCACATGCTGGGGGGGGGAGGGGCAGAGAGCAGAGGGGCGGGGCCCCAGGCCAAGGGCAGCAAAGGCTGCTGGATGCCTGCAGAAGCCAGGAGAGAGGCACGGAGCAGGGTCTCTCTCTGAGCCTCCACGTGGAAGGCTAACACTTTGGTTTGGGATTTCTAGCCTCCGCACTGTAGGAGAATAAACTCTGTCGTTCTAACCCACCTGGCTGGAGGGACGTGAACGTGTAAGAGGCATCCTCGGTTCCGCCATGCTTCTGTCTCCTCTACGGTAGCAGTAATGGAATTTCACCTTGGCGGTCGCATCATCCCAGCCCGTGCATCACCCCACGCTTTGCCTGCTGGTTCTTCTTTCTTTTTTAATCCCACCCAAGGATATATTTTAATTGATTTTAGAGAGAGAGGAAGGGGGAGAGGAAGAGAGAGAGATCTATTTGTTGTTCCATTCATCCATGTATTCCTTGGTCGACTCTTGCACAGGCCCCGACTGGGGATGGAACCCACAACCGTGGCCCACCTGGACAGTGCTCCAGTGAGCTGAGCCGCCCAGCCAGGGCCAGCTTACTCTTGTTCCCTCCGCTCCCAGAGGCAAGGCCAGCAGCCTCCCGGAGGGTGTTTATCAGACTTGAATGTTCATGCAGAGGTCCTAGGGACCTTGTGCAAAGGCAGGTTCTGGTCCAGAACATCGGAGGCCCCAGAGTCTGCATTCCCGCCACACCGGCAGGGGGCGGAGCTGCTGCCCCGAGCTCCACACTTGGGGCAGGAGGCCTTGGAAGCGGTATTTTGCAGAGAGCTGATCACCGGGGACACGGTTGGCCACGGTTGCTCAGGATGGCTCTTTCTGGGACCTGCTGCGGGCTGTGCCCTGGGGTCCGCTGTTACTCCCCAGCCAATGCCTAGAAAGTAGAGATGACAAAAAATCTGTGGAATAGAGAAAATGCCCATTTTTTTCTCCTCAGCCACTCAGCAATATCATGGAAAGAAACTTAATTTGTTTTTACATTGTTCTTGTCAAATGTAAAGTTTAGACTCATGGCACTGCCTCTGTCCTAGGCCGAGCTGTCCTTTTCAATGGGCTGGTGACAAGCCTGTGGCTTCGGACCCAGGCTCATAAATGTCAGGCAGCTACCCTGGGGCCAGTGCGGTTTTTCACCCCGGCGCTGGATCTGCCAGCCCGGGTGGGGCTAAAAGGCCGGGACATTTATTTAGCTCTAGTGAAGCAACACCCAAATCCTCCAGGTGGAAGCTAAGGCCCCCTTTTCCTGCTCTTCAACTGCGCATGCTCAGCCCGGCACCCAGGCGCCCGAGCCCTGCCGCTCCTCCTCTATGTAACGCGGCCCTCGTTACCCCCAGGTCTCCGAGCGGGAAGGGCTGTGAGCAGTTCAAGTTCCCCACATAGAAATAGCCCTGGTATAGTTCCGGTGCTGTTTCAGACTGCCATGGAGGAGCTGACTGTC